GCCTGGCTGGGGGGGTGAGGGGATGTTGATCTCCCCAGGGTGGGGGGGCAGAGCTGGGGGTCACCCCCATCAGTTCTGGGGTGTCAGTGTCTGATGGTCTGTCTATGTGTGGCGAGGTGGGCGGGGGAGCAGGGGGTGGGGGTCAGAGAAGAGAGCTGGGGGGGCCCTGAGGCTGAGAAAATTCACTGACCCCCTTTCTCTCCCCCCCCCCCACAGTATTTCGGTTTCCTCTTTCTCCTCTTCGCCGCCCAGATCACCATTGGGGTCCTGCTGTACACGCAGCGTGTCACGGTGAGTGGGGCGTGCCGGGGGCACTGCCGGGGGGAAGCTCACAGCACCCGGGGAGGCTCGGCCGGGGGGAAGTGCGCGGTGCCAGGACCTTGGCTGGGGGAAGTCACCTCTCCTCTCCTCTCCCCCTCCCAGCTCAGTGGCAAGGTGGGGGTGTTCGTGGAAGACGCCATCCGGACCTATCCGCTGGCAGGACCCCCCGGCGAGAAGCACCAGAGCTGGGACTTCATTCAGGGGCAGGTGAGAGCCCTGGGACCTGGCCCTGCGGGGACCCGGCCCTGCGGGGACCCGGCCCAGCCCCCCTGCAATCGGCCCCGAGTTCTGCCCTTCTCCTGGCAGTGACGCCTGGCTCCCGAGCCAAGCCCCGGCGTCGCTGGGCTCCCCCCAGGAGGGGCCGCGGCCCTTTTCCGCAGCGGGACGCCCCATTGACCGGCCTCCCCCGGTCCCTCCTCACGGAGCCGTTAGCCGGGCCCTCGACCGGATCCATTTCTCGTCCCTCGCGCCCCTAGCCTGGGACCGACCCGGCTACGAGACACCAGCCTCCGGCCAGACCACGCTAGCAGGGCGGCCCCCAGGGACCCACACACCGAGGGGCAGGCCCCTGGCCTCCCAGATGGGGCTGTTGGCACCAGAGACCCTGTCTCGTGACCGTTGGCCCGGCCAGACCCCGCGGGCTGGTACTGGGGTGTTACCAGATTTGCCCTTTACTTTGGGGTGCGCTCATTGATTAGGGTTACTCTTCGGGGGGTGGGGAGGGGTCTGTACTTCTCTCAATGTGCTGCTTGTGTCATGTGTGTTTTCATATGGAGCTGTACTTCTCCCTGCTGCAAGTCCCCTCCGAATGGCGCGACGCTGCAGGACCTCGGTTCCCCAGGGCTGGGTTCCTCCAGCCCCAGAACTGGGGACACACACACAGACACACACGAACACACAGACACACACACACTAACAGAGCAAGTCTGAGCAGACCGGGACAATCAGCCCTTTCAAGCTGACCCCTTATCTGCCCCTGGGCCGAGCAGCACTACCAAGCTGCCCCCCTCGTCTGTCCCAGGTTCACACGTCCCTGTCCCCACGCTCCCGTCACAGCGGTACTGGCAGGAGCCCACTGGCTGAGCAAACCCCACAGGATTTGGGGCGCTGCCGGGATCTTTAGCTTAGGTAAGAGGAGCGTCACTGCAGAGCAAATGGGGGAAGCTAGAAACACCAAAGAGTAAAGTTCAGAGAGGGGCAACCAGCTTCACCATACAAGTTATTTACTAGTTCTAACACTAGTGCTACCCACACAAGGAGGCTAAATCAACGTAACAGTCGCACTATTCAAGGTTACAAAAGTCAGCTATAGAAAACTCTCCCCGATCGAACGAGTCAGGGTTAGAAAGTCGTCCCTGAGGTAGAAAAGAAAACGGAGGGAGGGCGGGGGGATCTCACTGCTCCCTGAGGCTTGAACTGGTCGGGGTTCCCAGGGGATGGTGGGAGCTGGGGGCCTGAGAGCTGGAGCCGGGCAGAGCCCCCAGCATGACCAGGCAGGAGAAGATGGAGTCCCGGGGGAACGGATGCGGGTTCGGGTCCAGGCATCGGAACACACTGGAACCCAGGTTGGGGTTTTTGTCGAGACACCGCAATGGTGGAAGGGAGAACACTAGATTGGTTTATGGGTAAACTGATGACTCCAGGGTTTTCTTTAGGCTATGGGTGGTGTTAACCCTTTCTCCCCCACAGGGTGGCAATGCACCACATGGGGGGAAACTGAGGCCGCACAAAATCGTTACCAACAATTCCCGCTTCGCCACTGACACAGGCCTGCTTAAATCTGGCCCCTGCGGCCACCTTGCGCTGTGGGGAGAGACCCCACAGGCCGCCCCTTGGTGCCCAGCTATGTAGACATCAGGCCCCGGGGGCCCGGGAAACCAGGGTGGATTTGATTGTAAATCTCGATTTAATCACGGTTTTCTACATAAAAGTGCATTCTTGTTGGCTGTTATAACCTTAATACGTATCCTTCACAACTCCGAGATAGATGTGGGTTTCATTTTTAGAAGGTGCACGCTATACATTTTTAAACAGTGATTAATTTTGAAAACTTTTCAGATGAGTTTTACAGCTGTATCAGAAAATGAATGAGTGTTCGGTTATTTCATTTACCAAAGGGAATTGAATCAGATATTTGTGAAGTCATTGGGAGGTGAAGTATCTCCAATTCAACAGGTTAATCATTAATATTTGGAGGATTTTCTTGCCAGGCTGTATTAGGAGGAGAACATCACCAGACAGACATTTCAGTTGTTTTATGTAACTAAAACAACAACATGAAGTGTTCTGGATTTTTTTTTCTTCAACAGCAAACATATAATATTTGACCGAAACAAGCATATGTCCCTTGCTTCTCACATTTACCTCCAGACTTCTTCTCCTGTCCAGATCTAGTCCGCCCCCAACAATCTTCGATTCACTGAACTTTTTGAAACTTTGCACTTTTAGAGAGAGGTCAGGGATTGACTCTGTGGACACAAATCTGCAGAGGGACAATAGGGTTGGGGTCTGTTATTTCACACCTCTATATATTATTTATTTATTTAAAAACATCTTTGCTGTTAACAAGCATGTTACCCCTGGAGACACGAATCCACAGTCTGAGAACTGCAACACAAAGCGTCGCCGATGGTCTCTTCTAGACTGAGCCCTGAGCCCCGCTGGGTCGATAGAAAGATTAGCCTCCGTAATCTCGACAGAAGCCCCTGGAGCCCCATAAGATCGGGGTCCCTAATCCACAAACTGTTGGAACTCAGTTACAAAACTTTCCTTAACCATGACATGAATATATTGTCTCACACTGTAGAATTAGGATTTATAATCCCTATTCCATGACGAGCTATCTTTGAGCTATAATGTGTTTTAAGTAAAATGATCTTTAGATAGTTTTTTCCCTCAAAAAGCATTTTGTAAAAAAAATCCAATTTAAATAAAAAAAATCCAATTTTTATCCACCCTGCTGGAAACCCCTGTGCACCCCCTCGCCCCCGGTGCCTCTGCTGGTTGGCACAAGGCACCTGGCTCACACATGCCCTCCCACTGTCTCCCCCCCTCCCTGGCAGCTCCAGTGCTGCGGCTGGAGCTCGTACATGGACTGGCACCAGAACCCCGTCGTGGACAACTCGTCTCGCAAACTGTACCCCTGTTCCTGTCACAACAGCTCCAGCCCTGGTGAGCGCGGCACCGGCACCAACACCACCGAGGTCCCGGCCGTGCAGGGGGCCACCGGGTTCTGCACTGCTCAGGGGGAGTGGCCGGTCTACAGGCAGGTGAGTGCTGCCTGGGGCACTGCTGCGGGGGAAGCTCGCAGCGCCGGAGTCCCCGGCTGGGGGCACTGCTGTGGGGGAAGCTCGCAGCTGGCGGCGGTGGTGGGAGAGGATTTTGTAGCAGGTGCCAGTGTTCTGACCCCACCTCCTCTCCCTGCTGTCATCCAATCAGGGCTGCGCGAACAGCGTCCAGGGCTGGCTGGCCAATAACATCATCAGCATCGTGGGCATCTGCCTGGGCATCGCCCTGATGGAGGTAATGGGGGGGCGAGGGCAGGGCTGGGGAGCAGGGGCCACCCCCAGGGAGGTGGGGGGGGTGCGTGGGGTGGGG